GAGGGCCAGGCGGGACGCGAAGAGCTGGAGCTACACCAGAGCCAGGGAGCCTTGCTAACACACGTGCAGGACCGAGGGATTCCAGTCAGCTTCCATGTGGAGAGGGGAAGGTTCTGGGACTGGCTGCAAGCAGGCTGGAAGTTCACCCCCCTGAGGGGTCCCACACCTCAGCTGTCTGGAGTGTCCCATTGTTCCTCCCGCGTTCTTCCCGAAGAGGCTGCTGGTGCTTTGGGGCTGCAGAAAGGAACAGTCCCTCCAGAGGAGCCCCATGGACAAGAGGATGGCCTGAGGAGCCACCTCAGGGATGCAAGTCCCAAGCACAGACTCCTCTCTCACCTCTTCAGGCTCCTCAGACTTTACCTCCCCTCAGTGCTGGTGCTGCAGTTGGTTGTGTGGGTCACAGGCAGTGAGCAGCTACGTTGAGAAATTAAACATCAGCTATTTAAGTGGATGGCTGGAAGCTACCTCTCTGTAAGAGCCTGGCCTGGCTCTCTCTTGGGCAGTTTGCAGAGCAGGAAGGGCAGGACAGCTGCTACCACCGCGGTGGCAGGAAGATGTGCAAAACTAAAGACACTCAAATACAGGATCTGACCGAAACCCAAAGCTGGGGCTTGCAAAATACAACGCAAATCCATCAGGGCATTTTTACCTCCAACTGAACTTGCACAGGGTCCAAGCCTGGTACCAGCTGATGTTCCTGAAGAACCCGACAGCAGACCTTCCATTACAAAGCAAGGAAGAAAATTTTGCAGAAAAACAGTGCAGAGAAAGCATCGCACTGGGAAAAGACCTGCCACAGGATCAGGGATTGGGAGCGTGGGTGTGGACACTAGAGGCAAAAATTCAAATATACAGAAAACCCGATCCTGAGAGAAGAAGCTCACTATTTTGACAACACCTACGTAACCTGTCGCAGCAAAGTGCTACTGGATTGTTACTGCTTGGTCGCCTTTCAGACAGTTGCAGGCTCAAGTGCAATGGTTGGAGAATACAGCTATTTGCAAATATGAGCAGGCTCTGATGTCCCTGGAGTACCTTACAGGCACCAGCTGGAGCAGTCCTATCCTTTCAGACATCTCTTCAGTCAGGCAAAAACAAAAATTAAAAAAGAAACCATACTGGCACCTCTTCTTTAGCCCTGTAGAAACAGCACAGCTGCTGGACAAGGAGCTGGAGCCCCCGGGGTTGCGCATCAGCAGACTGCTGAAAGCAGAACCAGCATTCCTGCTGAAACACAACCAGGGAAAGACTCAGCTCCTGAGTCCCACTAGGAGGCACAGCTGGCTAAAAAAAGTGCTTTTTCTTGTAAAACGTACTAGCTTGGTCTGAAATCACTGGCAGAAATAGACACTTGGATGCCATTCCCCCCACCCCCCCCCACCCCGATGCCTTTCAGAAACACAACTACCTCAACCCGAACCACTAACATGGAGAAATCTAACTAACAACCTCTGGGCTTGTGAACTGACCACGGTGTTAGGGCTCCTTGTAGCAGCTGGTGCAAAGTGCCTCTGGGAGTGCAGGAAAAACCAAGGCATGCAGATCGGAGGAAGCTCAGAGAGGCACGTGGGCAAACTCTACAGGTGAACTGGGAACACTCAAAACAACGGAGCCTTTGAGGAGAGGCCCAGGATCCAGTGGAGAGAGGCAGGGGGGCAAGCTGCACGTGCATCTTGCACGAGCACCAGAGGAAGAAGCAAGTTATGGGGAGGCTCCCAGCCTGCAAGTCCACATCTCTTGGTTCTGAGTCCGTATGAGAGCATCTCTGAATTACTCAGCCATCGAGCTCTAGCACAAAAGGAATCCAAAAATAGACACTTTCCAAAGAGTTACAAAACAGTCTGTGTTTGCAGGGCTCACAGCTGCACTGAGAAGTCAGAGGTTGAGGACAGGCACGTCAAAGAGGTCGCAGACGCCTTCGCTCTCATCCAGGTTGTAGATGTAGTCGTGATCTCCAGGTGGAGGGGAGAGGCGGAGCAAGGGAGCAAACACTGGGGAAAGAGAAGCCCAGGGTTGGTGACAAAACTCAGCACTGCCACCCCGAGCCAAGAGCTGCCAAAGGGCACTGAGCTGTGCAGCCACCTCACAGTAAAGCGTCTGTGAGGTTGCTCCAATCAGCCTTGCAGTACCAAAGAGACTCCTGGCTCTCACACCTCTCTCAGGGACTGTCAGGACTGCGAGAACACAGTCTGTGTCCAGAGCCCAGAAAAGATGAGGGCAAGTCTGCAGTCTCAGGGCTGCCAGCTGGGTAAAGTCACACACCATGACGGGAGACTCCAAGACTCACCTTCAGATGACATCAGCTCTTCCAGCAGCTCAGAGTTCATACATTCTGGGGAAGAGACAAACATGGTAGCAAAACACTCTGCTCTCCTGGTCTGCTCCAGGGTAGTTCCCCACCTTCCCAGGGTTCTCCCCACCCTTCTTATCCCTTCTCTGGCTAAGGCACAGTGTGTACAGAAGGCAGTGGTGAAAGGAAGCTTGGGCTTAAAATAAGAGGTAAAACCACACAGTAGAAGTAATTCCAACACAAAACACTCTGGGAGAGCTCCAGCTCTTGCAGCTTAAACTGCACAGCCTTAAAGCAGCTGGCAGTGCCAGGGCAACATTAGTGGGATCACACAGGGATGAGAGGCTGCATGGAGTATGCTGCAAGGACTGTCTCTCTCAGCTCTGTCGTGTTGCCTTTTTCCAGTCCTGAGTTTTGCCTCTATAGCTGTCGACTCTGTTTTGTCCTTCCCTCCTGGATCTTCACCTTCCCACTCCAAACTGGGAAGAATACCCCATAAAGCCACATAGGATACCACAGACATCAAATATCTCCTTTTTAATGCAGTCCACACAGTCACACAGTATGGTCTTCTACATAGCTGGGGCTTTGCAGCAGTTTATGTCTCACACTCTGAACTCAAACTTACTCTTCAGATGCACTCAGACATCATCAAGACTTCATCCACTATCTGCAGCAGCAGGTGCTGGGCAAGGAGGAAGGATGTTCTCCGGGCTGACTGCGGAGCCCAGGGCTCACAGCACACAGATTGGAGGCTCACACGTGGGTGTGTTTGGGCTCGTGGGGTTTTTACACAAAGGCAGCACCTTCACAAAGTATCTGCTAGAGCACCAAACTAGGGACAGCTGTACACCTCCTGTGACCACCACCAAAGTGCCTGTGTGCACTCAGCTCTGCCAAGCTGTGGGGGTACAAAATATTCCACCAGCACTGAAGGGAAATAAATGTGCTGATAAAAAAAGGAGTTTCCCGGTTTAGCCTTATGTTAGACCAAATTCCTTTACCTCTCCTGCCCGTAGCCCAGAGTCTCTCCTACCATTAGGCAGCAACCCCTAGACATTCCTTGGGCAGAGTGAGAACTCCAAACACATGTAACATCATCTCCCTCTCCATACTGCTCCAAAATTACCAGCCCCACCAACACCACTGAGGGGTATTTCAAAGAAAGAACACTACCTCCCTAGAATATTTGCTTGGATTAGCCTCAGGCAGGCAGGCTACAGCTGAAACGAGACTTAACAGGGATTTTTCCTTTCCATAGTGCTGACAAGCTGAAGGAGGAGCTTGGGAAGGCTGAGCACAGAGTAGTGTCAGCATGGGGACAAGAGAGCCTAAGCAAGCTCTAACAGAGGTTGCTGGAAACATGCAGACAGAAAAATACACCCAGAAACCAGTAATTTTAAGACTGCCTAACTACAAGTAGAGGGCCAGCAGCCAGCAGTGACCACAAGCACCTTACAAAACCACATCCACAAAATAATCCAAAAGGGAGTGAGTCAAACAAACTGTCCCACTTCTGTGGGTAGACGGGCACACAGCAAAGCCGTGGTCAGGGAATGAACGTACCTCTCATTGGATCAAACATCTCTGACAGCTCTTTGGGAAGTTCCAGTACTGCAAACACAACAAACCAGATGGTTTGGATCATTACATGAAGAGTCTGAAATGCTTTACAGCAGAATCATCCACAAACCTACTGTAAACTCCTCACACACCCAAATCATCCTACGCCATCCAGAAATTCTGCTCCCACACTCCCTGTCAGATATTTCTGCTGCTATGATAAGCAATAAAACACTTAAGCTCTACTACTCTAAGATAAATTTGTAGGAGCCCAGGGACACGAACATGTTATCACAGCCAGCAGCTCTGCAGTAACTGCCTGCCTGTAAACCTCACACGGTGTCAGCTTCCACACGCTGCCTCGATTTACCTCGTGTAAGAGGATGCTTTTATCTCCCTGGGCCAGCCTGCCATTTCCTGGCATAAAGCTCCAATGTTCCTTTTTTTTAAGGCCCATTTCACCTCACCAAGCACATCAGGGACCTCCCCAAGTACACACTGCAAGATCACTAAGAACAAAGGATCTGAGGGTAGA